ACCTTATTTGTGTATTGTTCCCTTAAATAAAGGTAAACATTAATTTTAATTACACATTAATACCTCTAACCCATTATTCATATATTTCGCTAAACCCACTATTGTTCCGGGATAAGTGGCCGTGCAACAAGTGTCTAGTACTCACCAAAAAAAAAATAAAAAATAAACTAAAATTTCCACATTTTCAAGAATTTAAAACAACTAGAGTACCCAAAGAATTTTTTTTATTGACAAGATATTATTTCAATAAGATTATTATCTCAATAAGGAACTATATGACCTTTCGTTTTCATCAAGCACATGAAATTTGTTGATTATCTCAGCTCCAAAAACTTACAACCTTTCATTCTCGTCCTATGTCCAATTCTTCTATAAACATCTAGTGAAAATTAGGGGTGAACGCGATTCGCTTTGGGTGATTTGTGTCATATTTTCAAATCAAACAATTTCATACGATTTGAAATTTTTTCAAACCAAACCATAAATTGTGGGTTGGTTCAATTTTAATCCGCAGTTTACCTATCGACATTATAATAATATATTTAAAATTAGTTAACATATAAGTTTAAACGATAACTAATAATGTTAATATAGGTTGGTTGCTAAAAGATGTTAACATAACGAATATATTTTTTTTCATTTTTATTTACCTTTTCTTGTTTGCCTTTCATATTGTTATATAGCGATTGGTAAAGATAGAGTCACATTTTACTGTAATAGTTTCGTTAAAACTTATTTCATCCTACTAGTGAGATGAAAATAAGAATTGAACATGATATATTTAAATGTATAAAGAATGATAGAATTTAGGTTTATTGGAAATTGACAAATTTTATTCTCTAACAAATTTAAGAAAGTAGAATGTAGTAGTACTAGTTAGGGAACTTTAACATTTTCACACAATCAATACGCTCTATCATTCGTTCTTTTAAATAATAAACAAGTTCATTAATCACATAGGTACACAAACAATCATTTTTTTACTCAAATCACAACTCACAAGTGTATAATAAATTCAAAAACAACA